AAAGAGCTAGAAAGATATGTAGGAGGTGTAGGTTTCCTCCGCAAATACATCCCACGCTTTAGTCAGATCGTCCAGCCTCTGGAAGACTACAAGACCTTGCTGCTCAAGGGTTCACCCTCGTCTGGCGGTGCAAAGAGGAAACACTATTTCATCCGCAGAGAATTGACAGAAGCAGGCACCAAGGAACTAGAGGCGTTCCGAGAACTACAATCCATCATTTCAAAAGGACTGTTCTTACACCATCAAGACACCAAGAAACCCCTCTTAATTAATGTGGATGCTTCCAAGGAGTATGGCTTCGGTGCAATGGTCTACCAAGCAAGAGAAGACTGGGCAGGTTATGCTACTAGTGACTTCTCGTCGCCTCCACCACGTACCAAGACATGCCCCATCATGTTCTTGAGTCGATCCTTGCAAGGAGGTGAAGCTAGATTCCACCCGACGGATATGGAACTTGCTTGTATCGTTTGGGTCCTGCGGAAGATTAAAGTCTACGTGGAACTGTCTCCCAGAACCATATTTTATACAGACCATGCTTCCAACACCTACATCGCACATCAGTCTGTTCAACAGGCATCGATGGGAGGCTATAACATGAGACTCACGCTTGGTGCAGTCCTTATCAGGTCTTTCAAAAATGTAGAAGTCAAATACATTCGAGGAGAAGACAATACTATGGCAGATGCCTTAAGCAGAAACCCAGGGATAAAGGGGTATGATGGAATCCCATCAACCACAGATCCTACAGGCTGTACACTGGATCCACTCCCCCAGCATGCTATGGTGACTACTAGAGCGAAACGCTCACGACAGGTCTCTAGTTTACCCGAGACAAATGAAAAGGATTTGATGGCTAGCCTTGGTAACAATAGCATCAATCCCAACGATTCCGCGGATCCTCCATTACCCCCGTCGCAAGACAGGCAGCAATTGACAATGGCGCTACCTGACGGTATCAGGGAGAACCGAAAGCAATCGTACACTGAGATTCTTGTCTCAGAAAAGATAAAGACGCGTGCTTTGGAAGGTTATAAACACGACCCAAAGTGGACTAGAATCATCTCACAGCTAGATAGCAAAGCTAAAGATGCAGAACGCACCGGGCGCATGATTCCTGAGTATCCCTTCTATCTAGACGAATCTAGACTCCTTTGGCAGCGGTTCCCACACCTGCGCCTCTGTTTACCTACTAGCATGGAACAAGAAATCTTCGCTCTATGTCATACACCCATGCACTTGGGATATAGGAAGGCCTTACAACGCATGAGCCCATTCTG